AGGAGGAGGAGGAGGAGGAGGCAGAGGAGGAGGAGTGGGAGGAGGGGGAAGAGGAGGAGGAGGAGTGGGAGGAGGGGGAGGAGGAGGAGGAAGAGATATGTCAGTTTTGTGGATGATGTGGCATTTGAACTAGGACTTGAAGGACAGGAAGGATGGGGGAATCGTGGAGGCTAGAATAGCAAAACAGAAACAATGACTTTTGTAGTCATACTGTTGGCTCTGGGAGTTACATGTGAAACTTTTCATTGACCTAGTGAGGCACTTGTACAAGGAATGTACCAGAACTCCAAATAGATGAGTTTAGTGAGCACTAGGGTGTCTGACACAACTGAAATAACATTTCTCTCTAGTGCCAAGTGGCCACAAGGTATTAAGTAAGCATTTTGTAACAAATAATACCCTCATTTAACTACTGAGCAGTGCAGATCAAATCTAGCTTCCACAAAGTGACATGACATTGAGATGTAATGCAAAAACCCATTGAGACAAAGAGTCTTTGAAGTGACAGAACATTTTTTAGTACACAATTAGAAACCTGATGCACCAAGGTCCACATCTAGTTTGTTCTACTAGTAAACCTGTGAGATGGGGAGTTTTCCATGACATTCCCATCCCCCCAGTCTCTCACCCACCAGGCAGAATTAATCAACCTCTGTTCCAGATTACTTAAGTCGAGCGTCAAATACCACCCCAGTACAGTCTCAGTTATATCGCATTATTAATTAGCCTTGTGGGTCTGTCATCCACAAATCATGGTGCATAACCTGAAAGCAGGAACTATATTTTCTATTATCTTTGTGTGTCCTGCACCAACCATGTAGCTGGTGTTCAATAATGTTTGTGAAATAAGAAAATAAATCAGTGATTGGCATCAGAGACCTTATGTAATGAGCAGCCCATCCATGTTCAGTAAGCCTACTGATGAAGCAGGACTCTTCAGTTAATGAAACAGGACTGAGGAAGCAGGAATCTTCAGTTAACGAAAGAAATCCCACATTTGACAAAGGCTCAGAATTGTGCAGAGAATGCCCGAAGACTACTCCACGGTGGTGGGTAGGGACTGGAAAATGCTTTGTGTGACCTCCATGTCTTCGTCTTCTGATCTGGGAAGTAGCCCCCCACATTGGGGAGGTTCTAAGACTATGAGTAATACCTTTTTCTCTTTTTCTGTGTTGTTTTCCTTAATTGTCTTCATCCCAATTTTGCATTGTTTTTAATTGGATACAACTTCATGCAGTTCTTTATAGTGGAAACCATGCCATAAGCCTCATAACTGAGCCCTAAATATCAAGTCAATTCTAGATAATGGCAGGGATATTTCCCCAAAATATGCATCAGGGACCATTCTCAAAAGTCTGGATGATGCACAGATCTATATTCAGACAGAAAGATATCAAAGAATCTTGGAAAATTGGTAGGAATGACTCTAGTTTCAAACAGTAGCAACCTCTTCAAGGTGGTAATGAAAGAAAAAATATGTGCCTGAGTCTAAATTACAAGCTATGGAAGAAAAGAAAGAAGAGAGTCTGACTTGTGCCAAACGCATTTTTTTCTCCCCCAATTCAAAATACTGTTAAGTGCCCAATCTTGTGTATTCATATGTAAGATAGGGAAGGAGCTGACCCTTTTAACTTACATGTTACCGCTTCTTTAGGAGGAAGAGTTCTTGGGGGGTTTTAAATGTTAGAAGTGTCTCTTAGCTTGAAGTAAGATCATGAAGTTCAAGATACTTTTTCCAGATAGAAATGGCTGGGTGTCCTAGAGAAAGTCACTTAACCTCTTCCTTGCTCTCCTGTTTTTCTTAAATCGAGATAATGGTAATTAACTCTAGTTAATTACCTAGTAAGTCTGAAGGCTGAATTAAACATACCGAGTGTTTTGCAAACCCAAAGGAAGAGGCAGTTACTTTGTAGGTACAAACTGCATTTTAAAATTCTACCTCTGAAGCTGACAAAAGGAATAGTTAATGTTAATGCTGAGAAAATTATGAGAGAATCACTGCAGGATCATTTAAGATTAGGCTTTCAAAAATCTTGCTTTAATCTACCCCCTCAAGCTGTTCTCCCCTTTCTCCTCATATTTCCAATAAATAATACCTTACATTAAAAGAACTTTCTGCTTTCACATATATTGTCATGGCAAATTAGATGGCAATAAACCGCCTTCCCACCATAGTGCCTGGCTCCTGGGAGGTATTCAGCAAAGGTCTGTCAGTTCCCTTTCCCTTCTATGATTTATAACATTTGGAAGCTGCCCTGAAGTCCTCCAGCTCATGGTAAATGGACAAAAAGGGACTCAAATGGAGGTTGCACGGTGCTAAACTTTAGCACCACATTCCATGGCACTATCTTTGCTTAATACTTCTTTCTGCCAGTTGGGTCAGTGAAAAAAAAAAAAAAGGCACCTTTCTTGTAGCCCAGCCCTCTAGAACACTCCTTTAGCAGTGTTCAACAATCCTGAATGCAAGTTCCTTGAAAAGCTTTTCTTCCTGTGCTACTGAGTATGGGAAACAACAGATACTCCCCTTGTGGTTGAAGGTAGGAAGGGAAGTGATTAAATAATGATCTCCAATACAAAATCACCTTAAACATGCAGCACATGGAATGAGCCAAGAGGAACTGTGACTCACATGTAATGGTTCCATTGAGTCTGTGACAGGGTAGAATTTCTAGCAAGTTGGAAACTAAGACAAAACTCTAAATGCCATCTTCAGAAATCCACCAGCATCCCTTTAGACTGTGCCTCAGTAAGTGATATGTTTTTCTGTTTAATGCTTATACTGATTATCCTCATGCTTCTCTGGATTTTTTCCATTTGTATCTCTTTCTCTAATTCACACACCTCAGCCAGCTGTCAAAATGTAGATAATGTCCCCAAAGTTCTGTCCTCCTTTCTCTCATTCCCCTTCATGATTCAGCAATAATTAAAAAAAAAAAAAAAGATTCCTAAAGCGATAGCCCTTTCTCTGAGCATAAGTGGAGACCTATATTTCAAGTTGCCCTCAAGTTTCTCTAGAAATAAATAGATTCCAAGATTAATCAGCATCTTCTCTGCTCAAATCTGCTCTTCCCTCTCCCTCATTCCTTACTATTTGGTTCTAAAATATAAGAATCGGTTTGGATTGTTTTTCCCTCCTTCCCTGCACAATAATAAATTATAAATTCTTGTACTTTTGACCTCTATAAATTTTATTCATCTATCAATGGTGTGCTGGAGCTGGCAAAAGCCAATTGTTAAATTCTCAGAAATTTTGCTCAAATAAACATTAAAAATAAAGGCTATGCTCAAAACACAGTGCTCTTAATTATTTTACATTTATACTCTTGAGCCGAAACTATTATATAATGGTGTGCTACTGAGCATCTCTCCCGAGATTTGCATTCAGTGATGTCACATTTCTACCTTGAAATCAGATATGGTGGGGGGACGTACACCAAGGAAACTGGCAAATACTTGTATTTCCCCTACAGAGCTGGTTGTGACACATTACCAGCACACATTGACTGTCCTAATTCATCCCTGGCCACCAGCCAGGGACAGACAGGAAAGTGCTCATTACTTTGTTTTTCCAT